GTAGAGATGTTATTAACCTTTTTTATTTTTTTCTCAATATATTTTAGACAAACAGTCTAAAATATATTGAGAAAAAAATAAAAAAGGTTAATAACATCTCTACATTGATCTTAGCTTCTTCTTGCTAAGCTATAAACAATTTAAATGTTTCAAATTTCATAATATTCTTCTTTATCTTTTAATTTCAGTGTTAATTTGTCCATCTCTGCACAATCCAAAGTTTTTTTTATCACTAATTCGTCCGAGGGGGTATTATTTTGTTTTTTGTTAAATGCATTGCTTAATTTTGGAAGGTGTCTCGCTCTAAAAACAAGGGCAGCTTTGGGGGGGAGCAATGTGATGGGATGTCAGCTTTTTTTAAAGTTTTAAAGTTTGGAGTTGCCTCCAAAATCCTCGCCCATCAAGCAAGTCGCAAAGTTTGCAGCCACCTTTAGCTGCTGTTCTGTTGCCCCACAGAAAAATGGGGCTGCGTGGACAGGAATGTTTGGAGGTTGCAAATCAGAATAACAGAGCTGGAAGGGATCTTGGAGGTCTTCTAGTCCAACCCCTTACTCAAGCAGGAAACCTTATATCATTTCAGACAAATGGCTGTCCAGTCTCTTCTCAAAAACCTCCAGTGATGGAGCACCCACAACTTCTGGTGGCAAGCTGTTCCACTGGTTAATTGTCCTCACTGTCAGGAAATTTCCCCTTAGTTCTAGGTTGCTTCTCTCCTTGATTAGTTTCTTCATTACTAGTTAATTCTTGTCCTGCCTTCAGGTATAAACAGAGGGATAGAATCAAGAGCACGTGAAGTTGTTAATACCACTTTATAAGGCCTTGGTGAGGCCACACTTGGAATACTGCAGTCAGATTTGGTTGCCACGATGTAAAATATACGTTGAGACTCTGGAAAGAATGCAGAGAAGATCAACAAAGAGGATTAGGGGACTGGAGGCTAAAACATATGAAGAACGGTTGCAGGAACTGGGGATGTCTAGTTGAATGAAAAGAAGGCATGGCAGGATAGCAGTGTTCATATATCTCAGGGGCTGCCACAAAGAAGAGGGAGTCAACCTGTTCTCCAAGGCACCTGAGGGGAGAACAAGAAGCAATGGGGGGAAACTAATCAAGTAGAGAAGCAACTTAGAACTGAAGAGGAATTTACTGACAGTTAGAACAATTAATCAGTGCCTCCAGAAGTTGTGAATGCCCCAACACTGAAATTCTTTAAGAAGATGTTGGATAACCATTTGTCTGAAATGGTATAGGGTTTCCTGCCTAGGCAAGGGGTTGGACTAGAAGACCTCCAAGGTCCCTTCCAACTCTGCTATTGTATTGTATTGTATCTGTCTACTATTTATTCTATCTATCTATCTATCTATCTGTCTGTCTGTCTGTCTGTCTGTCTGTCTA